AATTTCCCTCTCATGAGTCTAAATAGTTTAATGTAATATGCTTACATGTAAATGGAGGAGGCTGAAGAAAGAACATAAAGGCAGGAAGAATAAGAACCCTAGAATAAGGCTGAACACAAATACAAATCCTAGATTAAGCAGAGCTCAAACGCACATTTCTTTACACTCCATCAAAGAGTGTTGATCAGTTTTGTCTAGTAGAGGTCTAAGACCTACTCTAATTGTTTACAAAATGGAACCAAGACAGTACATATAATTATAGAAGAAAAGCAGAGGAGCTTGCCCATAAGAAATAAAAATAGCTCTACTTACTAAGAAGTATGGTAACAAAGAAACAGGTCCTGGCCAGCCATATTAACAATATTTTCCATTAAAGCTGCCATGGGGAACCTGGTCTCTCTTTGCCAAGGCAACTGAGTAAAAAAAAAAAGTCCAGGGACTTTTATTCTTTGCCAAATGTACATGTTGGACATCATCATTTTCTGTTCAGGTGGCATGGAGCAACATCACAGGAGAATCATGGATAAGGCAAGCAGACAGCCAAAATCCTTCTCCTTCCTTCCTCCACGGTCATCTCAAGATGGTGAGAAGACCAAAGAAAGAGGAGGCTTGCTTGGTCAGACCAGGCCAATGGAAATAAGATGGACTACAGGAAAATGCTTGTGTCTGAACAGGACTCTGAAACTAGGAAGTATTCTAGTGCCTCCAAGTGGGAAACTCACACACTGAGGAAAGTACTCTGAATTGCAAGGTGAGGAATTAAAGATGCTGGCATCTATAGATGGAGATCCATGTTCACAAACTGGAGAATCAGAACCATCTGTCTCCCCTGCTCTAAATGAAGCTGTGCACAGCTCTCCAGAATTGAGACTCAGACATCAAAGTTTCCTGCCAAAAAGAAAATTAAACTAAACTCAAAGCACACTAAAATTGAACTTTTTTTTAGTAGTGTATATGTGGGGGGGGGGGGGAGGGAGGAATACTATGATTACACAAAGGGAATGAACTTGGTTTAATTCACAAAAAATGATGTACACAAATTTGTGAACTGAAATCCATTGCTTGCCACAAAAGTTGTGAACTCTCTACAAAATCTAATTACCTGTTAAAATGTTGTCATCATTGTAAATAAACTGAGCAACACGTTGCCAATGGATCACATATTTCTAATATTTGTTGCGTGTTGAAGAAGCAAATCACCTCATATCAGACAGATAAGCAGAAAGGCTGATAGCAATCGATATGTTCTCTAAATACACAGATGCCTATTTACAAAGGGAAGAAAAAGATTCTTTGAAATGTTCACACCTGTACTACCTTACCATTGAATTAAGTGGAGTTACTTGTTAAGCTCATAAACTATTAGAAATTTCTTAGGCTCCTACCTGTTTCCAGACAACCCATTTCTGTCCACAGTGCTTCAACTTTCAGAGAATGAGAGATTTCTAGGGATCTAAGTATCAAACAAAAAATTAGAATGAACCATCATCCTCCCTCCAGATCTCAGCCGTCTGGGTAGTAGATGATAGACAGAACCTAGCTAAGTAGTATGTCTTGGATAGTCTGCAAGATCCAACTTTCTTGCTTTTGTAATTATGCTCTAAGCAGTTAAGTTCCTTTGTCATTGCAGGTAGAACAATAATGTCAATAGATGACACTAAGCAAATTGCATTCTTTGAGGCAGAAGGTTAAACCCTAAATCTCAAAAATATATTAAAATCAACTCATTTGCACCAAAGACTTAATGTAATCTCTGAGACTATCTCACATACACATACACACAAAACATGCATACTCCCCTATACACAAACACACTCATATAAAGAGCTTTTTTTTTCCATTTCCCTAATATTCTGAAAACAAATCCGAAACTTTAAAAAGAATACAGAACAGCCAGCTGCCCGTGGCTCATGCCTGTAACCCTCACTACTTAGGAGGCTGAGATTTAAGGATCATGGTACAAAGCCTGCCCCAGGCAGGAAAGTCAATGAGAACCTTACCTCCAATTAACTACCAGAAAACCAGAAGTGGCACTGTGGCTCAAGTGGTAGAGTGCTTGCCTTGAGAAGAAGCGCTCAGGGACAGCACCCAGGCCCAAAGTTCAAGCCCCACAACTGACAGAAAAAGAAAAAGAATACAAAAGAAGGATTCTCATTACTTTCTCCTCAAAGCTTTGAGATTTATGCAGTGCTGATACAATCACAAAAGTGACACAAGCATTATGGATCTATCACTGGCTTATTCCTTTGACATTGGTGTGTTGAAATATACCATGAGCATGTGGAATAGTCAGTAGCAACTTAGTTGCACAGCCTTTTAGTCCCAGAAGTAAACTGGACACACCTGGAAGAGCCAGATCAATCATCAAATATTTTCAGTGGGAATGTGGGCAAGCACCCATTTCATTTAGGGTGCTATTTAGCCTTGTTCTTTCTTTCTTTTTAAATTTTCATATGAGCTAAGGATTATTTCTGTACTGAAATGTGAAGCCTCGCACATGGAAACAATTTCAAGCACTACAAATGGTATTTTCATCCTTATTTATTATTAATCATCATGATGAAAATAACTACAACTTATTGACCACCAGACCTAAGACTACCTTTATGGTAAGAGGTTTGTATAACAGTGCATTTGTACTCTACTACTTTTTTTTTTATTTCTACATATGGGGAAACCAATGGCCACAGAAATATAAAACTTTGTCAAGGTCACAAAGCAAAGAGTGGTAGAGTTGAGACTTAATAGCCACTTATTAATTTGCACTGCATAGGAATGATTATAATCTCACAGAATAATATAACATCCTTCTTGCTTTGATACCTCCTCCTCCTCCTTCATTTCCTTATCTCTCTCCCTCCCTCTCTTTCTTAGCTAAAATGTGGCTCAGCATTAGTTGGACCCAAGAAGTGTTGACCCTGGGGATTAATGAAGGTTTTGTACACTATGGTTGTTATGGGCTAGGAAGAGAGATTCATCTAGTGTGGCTTGAGTAATAGAGTATTAGCTTAGCAAGCATGAAATCTTACTTCCATTCCCAGCACTACACAAAATTCACAAAAGAAAGTGAGGGCAGTATCTAAATTGAGGCACCCTACTGGGTTAAGATTAAATGATGACCTCTGCAGTAGCTGTGAGGGTAGTCACAGGTTTGGTGTTGCTGCTCAGAAACATGCAGCCCTCAACGTGAAGCCCTCTTGTTTCCAGAATCTTGTTCTTTTTTTTGTCTCCCTAGGCCATTTACAGAAACCAGAACTATTCTAAGTTGTGTTAGAGAAGACTGGGGTATTTTTCCTCCTATAGCCAGCCATAAAACTTAAAAGAGATGTTAAGTTTGCGTTTCTCACCCTTCCTATTCAAAAGCTGGTCCTAAAGACATTCTCTGTTTCATTTGAATGTAGGATATAAGAATAGCACCCTAAAAGGGCCCTGCCCCATCCAGAGGGAGGGATGTAGCCTGGGAACATTGAATCTATTTCCTAATCGGTATGTAGGTCAGAGCTCAAATGTCCAATCATATTTCTCCCTGGCTAGCCATGCTTTTGCTGCACCTAAGCATAGCAATGAAACATTCACCCCGAATCTCTGAGTTTTCATTCTGATCGTTTCTGAAGCAGTTAGTCTTTTGTGGCAAGTGTTTCATTCATGTACTCTATCATGAGGCAGCGAGGGGTCCTTCCCCTTGGTTCTTCTGCTCTGAAAAACGTGAAGACAGAACAATCCAGTCTGAAGTAAAGTTGCTTGGAGATTGTGGGAGAGGATAGAGGACATTTTGAAATTGCTATTTTCTAACTCTGGATGCCATCTATATATGCAAGGGTCAGGATTCTTCCACTGAGAAGTAACTGCAATAAAGTGAAATCAAAGATATGTTTAAAAAAATCACGTCCTGGTTCAAAAAGAAAAACAAAAGCTTTATGAGACTTATACTTCATAATATACTTTGAATAGTTCCCTTTGGGTAAGTGCAGGTTTCGTGGGATTCTTCTAGTCAGAAATGACTACTATTTACTCAACCATGTGTGTGTGGGGGGGGAGGGGAGTTGGCAAGGGAAAGTGAACGGCGAATGGGAAGAACATGATGGAAGGGAGAGAAAAAGGGTTAACAAGAAATGGGAGTACTTTCCAGGAGTGTGTATGGGATTGGAGAAAAAAATCGAAATAAATATTGATGATGTCTGGAAATCTTCCTGTTGCTGTTCTATTTGGAATGTGATCCAAAAGCCTACGTGTCAAAGGTTTTGTGTCCACTGTGGTGCTGCTGAGAAGCCTTTGAAACTGTCAGAGATGAAGCAGAATGAAGGGCCTCGGGTCACTGAAGGTGTGTACCTGAAGGGGAACTGGACCCTTTGACTCCTGCTTTCTTTCTCCATTTTGCATCTTGACCATGACGTCAGCAGCTTTGCTCTAACATCCCCCGCCCATCTATAGTATTAGCCATCCCCAGGTGATTTGGAAAATAGACCTTTTCTCTTTCTAAGTTGATTGACACACTTTTCTTATAGCGACTCAAAGTTCACTAATACCAATCCCATTGGATACCCGTTTTCAAGGAGGATAAAGAAAGCAACTAAACTTCACATTGACATGGAATAAACTTGTGACTATGGAGTTATTTTAATATATATATATTAATGTAAAGATACTGTACAGAGAGGTTACAGTTACATGATTAAGGTAATGAGTACATTTCCTATCAAGCATTGTTACCCCCCTCCTTTGTTTTTCCTCTATCATCCCTTCCCTCCCCATCTCCCCATCTCCTGCCTCCCTCTGCCCAAGTTGTAAAGTTCATTTTCTAACATAATGTCTTGTACATCTCATGGCTATAATGGGTCAATCTATATCCTTGTTTCAGCATATTTTAATTTCCCTTCCCCTCCCCAAATTAGAAAAATGTATATAAAAGATGCAGGGCACAGGAGTCAAATAGAATAAAAAACGGGCTGTAGCATTGGGGAAGAACGTACAAAAGAAGCAAAAAAAAAAAAAATCACATAGTGCTTCAGCAGCACATATACTAAAATTGGAATGATACAGAGGAGATTAGCATGGCCCCTGCCCAAGGATGACACACAAACCCTATGAAGTTTTTATAGGTGAATCTTACTGGTCTATGAATGAGAATTTGTTAACAACTTGAGTCATGTGCAATCTGAAAATTATAGGATTGCAGACATTACTTTCAATTTATTTCTCTCTTTCTTTCTTGCTTCCTTCTTTAAAAATAACATAATCTAGCTAGTAACTCTAGGAAGTAGGATAAAAGAATGAGAGTGAACATGGCTTGGGTGTGTATATCAGTCTGCTCCATTTTTTTGTGTGTGTGTGTGACTTGGATAATATCTTGAAATTCAATGTGTCTTACTTAGTGTCCTCAATTAGGATGATGGTAGGTGAATTCCCTTCATCTTTCTGTCATTGTGCATTGCTTCAATCTTCATCAAAATTCTTTGGGGTAAGTACCACTATTTCTTTGCTTTATGAGAGAGAAAATTGAGCGGTAGTGAGGTGATATGTCCCCAAGTAGAAAATTCTGTATATTATGAAATGTCTCTCACTTCCTTAAATTATAAATTCTAATTAGGGAGTCAGAATAATGACATGATTAACAGAGTTGTCTTTGGATTCATCCAGATCTTAGCAGTCCCACATCTTTAGTTAGTGAGCTCATTTAAAAGAATGCAAATCTGATTATTTCCTATCCACCCTATGACATTATCTGTGGAACATAGTCTATAATTTATCAGCCACTGTGATATATGGAAACACTCAATACCAGCTGTTCTCTATGTACTTTAAAGTTTTCAACAGCCCGTCTGAAAATAAAATAGTTGTAGGAAAAGAAGTAAAACAAATGGTGAATATTTCCTTACTTTTTGAGCTTTGCGCAGACACAAATGATCACTTTCCATTCAAGCAATGTGTACTTGCAAGGCGTATTGTCTTCATGGACATTCTAGGCAGAAAGCTGAGTGTCAAAACAAAGCTACTAGCTGTCTTCTCCGCTTACCAATGTTTTTATCACTCGCCATTTCAAAGGAAATCTGCGCAGTGGCTAGAAAAATGCCTGGTGGGATGCCAGAGGCAAAAATCACCTCTTCTTAAATGAGAAAATATGTGACAAGTATGCCACTTAAAATTATAAATTAAAATGCCTTTGGCAAGTCTGGAAGAAGTAAGCTAGCAAAGCTGTATTTCTGACACTGAGCATAAAAGATTTATTTAGAGCAACAGGTAGGAACTGTGAGCCAAAGAGATGATAGGGTATAATTGGTTGACAACAAACTACATGAGATTATCGTAAGAATTACTGATGGTCCATTTGTAAAACTGGGTATCTAACCTGGTTCTGAGTTCACAGAAGTAATCTTCATATTAGTAGTAATCATTAAATTCCTATAGCCAGAAGTTCCCTAGATAAACAGTTGCTTCGAAGGCCAATAACTAGCAGGGGCAGATAGGACCATGATAAAATGTGAAAATATGAAAAAAAATTATGTGCTGCAAAGAGCATATTGCAAAAGTCTTTGTGCCAAAAAAGAACAAAGAAGCGTCAGAAAAAAAGCCTGCTTAAAAATTCTATCCATCTCAAAAGTGCATGTGTTAAAATTACCCAGTACAACAGAGAGGAGGGACTTTGGGATTTAAGTACCTGCTGTTACCCCACTGAGGGTCTCTGATTCCCAGGCCCAGTCAATAACCAATAAAAATATCACTTTGGTTTCAGTGTTCATTGTGTCTTCAAGTCCATTCTTTGAACTCTCACAATAACATTAATTTAAAGTTCAGCAATCATTAGGTTTTATTTTACTACTTACATGTTTGATTGTTTTCTTCATAAAATCCTCCAGAGTAAAGTGCATGTAGTTGACCCATTTTACAGAAGAATGAACTGAAATAGACAAAGGATTACTGCTTTCTCCGAGTTATATAGATTGTCTATGTAGAGAAACAAGATTGGCACTCAATCTTAATAATTTTCTTATTGTGAAAATACTGTACAGAGGGGTTACAATTACATGATCAAAATAATGAGTACATTTCTTATCAAGCATTGTTGCCTCCTACTTTGTTTCTCCCTAACCATCCCTGCCCTCCCATTCTGCCTCCCTCAAAGTTGTACAGTTCTTTTTCCACATAACGTCTTATATATCTCTTTGTTGCAATGGGTCCACCTGTATCCCTATTTAAAGGATGGTCAATAAACACATGAAGAAATGCTCAACCTCCCTAGCCAAAAAAGAAATGCAAATTAAAACAACATTGAGATACCACCTCACCCCAGTTAGAACGGCTATAATCAAGAACTATAATAACAACAGATGCTGGAGGGGATGTGGACAGAAGGGAACTCTTCTGCGTTGTTGGTGGGAGAGTGTAAACTTGTTCAACCACTTTGGAAAGCAGTATGGAGGTTCCTCAAAAGACTCCACATAGAGCTCCCCTAGGACCCATCAATCCCACTTTTGGGCATTTACCGAAATGGTCACAAACAAGACCACACTAAAGCTACCAGCACAACTATGTTTATTGCAGCATTATTTACCATAGCTAAGATATGGAACCAACCCAGATGCCCCTCAGTAGATGAATGGATCAAGAAAATGTGATATCTATATACAATGGAATTCTATGCCTCCATCAGAAAGAATGACATTGCCCCATTTGTTAGGAAATGCTAGGCAAAATGAACCCCAAGATAAGGTCTCACCTTTATTTTATGTTTGTACTAATGTGAAACCTGTGTGCTCAGTATTCACACATGATTAGGATGTAGGTATAATTGTACGTAGAACTTGGGATATTTTTGCTAAGGGCATTGACTAGGACCTGAAAATGTCCAATCCACTTTACAACTGTCTCCTTTGCTCTGAGTCATTCTTTTCTTCAGTCACCTTGGATTTCAGAACAACGGGACTGATAAATGAACATTTTGTGACAAGAGTTGAATCTATCCCTAGGCAGCAATGATATTTTTATTACTATATCAGATTAAATTTGGTATCAGCAACTACACAAAAGTTTGACCAAGATTGATTGATGATGCATCCTCTCCAGTTCTGCCCTTTTCCAGTATAAGTTGAAAGTCAGGCTTGTACCATCCAAGTTAAGCGCGCAGGTCCTTGTCATTTTCCCGGTGTGGCTATACTGATTAAATTGTGTTTCCTGCCTGCCCAGGCAGTGACTGGAACTTATTTGTTGGGACTCCCTAGGGTCAAACTTATGGGCAGGGACCATGGGAACACAATGATCTTCCCTAAAGCTACAATATTTTGAAGGATTGGTTTTCTCAGAAGACATAGGTTATGTACTTTAGGAAAATATTCTACCCCAGAGGGCATTGTGTTTTTCACTAATTCTGATTATTCTGAATCACTATACTTTTAGTTGTGTGGGATTTTTTTTTTGTTGTTGTTTTTGGAATTATTCTTCCTCTCTGAAATTCATGTTAGGAAAGTCTATCTCTAATAGATAGACTGCGGATATGTAATATATTTATGCTAACAGGAAGTGTAATACTTTTAACAGCTTTCCTAAAGTTTTACTACATTGTCTTTCCTCAAATATGAACTGTATTTGTCCCCAATGGACAAATTTCAAATGAGGCATTTTCCTTCAACATGCTTGTGAATTGGGGAAATAATTTATCTAAACAGGAAACCCTTCTCCTGACACTAACACATGAGAACACAAATTCTTGATCACCAAGCTATATTTCTTTCACTTTAAAGAAATATCATAAAGAAAATTCCCATTACAAGATTTCTGCTTGCAATGAAGTAGAAGAAACACCAATATTCTAAAGCCTTAGTATTTGGTTGGAGTGAGTAATCACAGGAAATACAATTCTTCTGTCATTAATATCCTCTGGACTTCCACGGTTATATTGAATTAAAATATATTCCTGTTATTTATTGAGTCTTAACTTTAATGAAAATGTTTTACAATGAGGTGACAGTCATTGGTAATAAAGTTGAAAAATTCTTGTCACCTAGCTAATAGAAAAGCATATCTGAAATTAACTTTGGCCTCTACAACTCTTTTTATGGAAGATGGCTGTAAAGGCACACATCACAGTTAACATCTAGAAGATAAAGCTTTTTCTCAATAAAGTATATTTTATGCATATTACCTTATCCTAAAAATGCACATAAGGCTTTATACAAAAGTAGGTTTATATTACAAGATTCTAAACCTTTGTTTTTTTGTTTGAACTAACTACTACTCAAGGAGTTATCACTAAGTTATTGGTGAAATTTCTATCAGATCAAGCTATTACTAGTGTAGGGAAGCTCTCTAATACTTGAGCTATAACCTGTAACCTTCCCTGCCCCAGTCCTTTTGCTTTTCGTTTGTTTTGCAGATAGAATCTTGGACTAATTTTGCTTGTGTTTGCTTGTGTTTGCTGTCACAGTCACCCAAATAGCTGGAATTAGAGGCATGTGCCACCATGTCCTGGCTCAAATGTCATCTTTCAGATCAAATTTTGAGGAAGACAGACACCTCTAGAATCAGGGAACCTCGGAACTGTTGGCTCTAATATTTCTGTATTTTGATGTTAGCTCCTCAATTGATAACCATGCCATCAAATTTTAATCTACAGTTGAGCTTAGCTAGCTATTATTCCTCACATATAATTCTATAAGCTATTTCAATGAGATCTCTATTTATAGGCCAGTCATTTAGTAATAGGGAGACGGATTCCAAGTCAATTCTTTTAGAAAATTTGATCTAGAAAAGCTGAGGACTCACTAAATCGAAACATCATTTTCTATTTACCCATTATTTCACATTTATTGATGTCTCCAAGTGCTATGACTAACACAATAGTTGACATGGCTTCTGCAGATGAGAAACATTTGCTTCTTATATTTTCAGAGATTTTTTAAACGTGTCATACATATAACTTCTTAAGACATGTTCTTGAATTCATGACTGTAATTTGCGGACTGCTCTATGATATAGCTTGGTGGATAGCATGCGAATTTTGTAAAGTTTTGCATCTGTTCTAAACCATTGAATTTCATTTGTGTATTGTTATTTACAGTCCAGAAATGTATGCTATTGGGTCACAGGACTTGATGTACTGAAGTGTGTCAC